TGTTGTTCGCGTGCAAGAGAGCAAGACCAGATGTCCAAACACTGACAATTGTTCTCTGTACACGTGTGAGGAATCCCACAGTTGATGACTGGGGCAAGTTGATCCAAGGATTGAAGTTCCTCGACCAAACAGTGGAGGACAAGTTGATACTCCACGTTGATGATATCCGTGTCATCACTTGGTGGGTGGATGCATCATTTGCAGTCCATCCTGATTACCGTTCCCATACAGGAGGAGTCATGTCCTTTGGAAGAGGCGCGGTGCTGTCTGTGTCTGCGAAACAGAAATTGAATTCGAGGAGCAGCACGGAAGCGGAATTGATTGGAGCTGACGATGTCATGTCGCCCATGTTGTGGGCAAAGTTGTTCCTTGAAGAGCAGGGGATCGTTGTGAAGGACAACATCCTCATGCAGGACAACAAAAGCACGATCATTCTTGCAGAGAATGGCAAAGGCAGTTCGGGCAAAAGAACTCGGGCCATCAACATTCGTTTCTTTTTTATTCATGACCAGATTGGAAAAGGCAACCTTAGAGTTGTGTACTGCCCAACCTTGGAAATGCGTGGAGATTTTTTCACGAAGCCCCTTCAGGGCAAGCTCTTCCACGAGCACAGGGCTTTCATCATGGGGCATCCACCCCTTGTTTGATTTCTTAAATTATTTATTCGTTCCACGGTAGCCACTTAGGGCACCGTGCAGGAGTGTGTTGGAGGAAATATACCTGACACCTCTTTACTATTGACTCGTGTATTAATCATCTAGTCCGGTTCGCATGCAAATACATCATGCAAGGAACCAAGGGAGTTTAGGTCTAAAGTGTTACGGGGGTCCTTATATCCAATTCAATCACAAGAATTGCTATGCACCACCAGAAAAACCTCACTTTTGCTTTACAGCTTAATCTAAAACCAAATTACTCCCCAATAAGCTGCAGTTCAACACGATAGAGGGCATCTAAGTCATTCAAAGTATCGAGTGCTTACAATGGTTTGTTCCCATAGTTGCTATCAAATCCGTTGATGTCACTCTTGACAACGAGTTCATGGACTTTGGATCGAAAGTAAGGACAGCCACAGCCAAGAAGACCTCTCAGGGATGTGCTGGTTAGTTCAGGCATGGGATCACTGGACATAAAGTTCAATCGAATCTCTTTGATGATCTTGCTTGCATCGACAACATACATGGACATATTTTCACCAGGGAACTTGGTGATGTCCAAGTGAAGAAGCTTGGCTTTGAGGGTCTCAATCTTCCTGAGAGAAGGTCTGTATATTTTCTGCAGAAGAGCCAAGAGAAGCTGGGGCCCATTGTGCTTGGCTCGAGGGACATATGATTTCAATTCCTCCTGGAGGGCATCAGTGCAAGAGTTCAAGACAGCCTTTCCCGACCAGGCAAGGTTGGTTAGATCGTACTGGCAAACAGAGTGTTGCTTCAGAGTCTTATCGGTATCGATGAATCCAACCCCATTTACTGTGAGATCCTGATGCCATTTGTCCATCATAGATTCTGAGACCTGCCCAGGAGCGGTGAACATGTTAATTTTGCTAATGGTGTTAGTATTAAGATCACCAACAACAAGCTCAAAGATCCCTTCCATTCCATGCTCAGTCGTCATACTTTCAAAGGCGATAAGAGAGGCTAACACATGGGACCCAGAGGCATTGGACTCAGTCAACGTGGAGAAGAGGAGACTGGGGGAATCCTTCAGTCCTTTCTGGCATGCCAATTCAATTGGCTGGAGTGTGGTGTGATGTTTTAGATGGTCATCTCCATGGAAACCCCTGAGGCATAGGGTGCTTTGAGGTTCCTTTCCCAGTCAATCTGAGCCAGATCCTGTCCAGGCTCCAGTGTGGTTGATACCTCCAAGCCGAGGGGCTTCCTGAAGCTTTGTCTTTTCCTTGGATCTGCCAATGTGCTGGAGGAGCTCCTGGAATTGATATGCGGTCATGGGTGCAGACATGGTAGGAGGATTAGATGGAGTGATGACTGGATCAGATTCAAAGAGGGCTTGTCTGAAGCCTTGAGGACTGAACAAGGATGCTGGTGCTGGTGCTGCTGTTGTTGAAGAAGAAGATGCTGAGGCAGAGGAAGCGTCGTCAAGGTCCATCAAGTGAGAATCAACAAGAGAGGAGCGATGGCAATGGCAACAGCGGCAACAAATGGAGGAGCGCGGTGGATAGTCAACAGAGCGGCAATGGCAACAACAAGAGCAACGGCAACAGGAGCAACAGGAGGAGGAGCTCGGTGGATATCCAGTCAATTGAGTCAATCGAAGCTGGAGTTTATGAGCTTTGGAACAGTAGTTCGGCGAATTGGTACTCGAGTTGTTTGGATCATTCAAACAATCAACTGCAAGCGAATCGGTCGTGGTAGTTTGAATGACCACGACATCGCGAGCGATCGATCGCTCCGTACGATCTCGATACGTACAATCTGTACGGTAGTTTAAAATTAAACGACCGGTTGCTGGCTTGCAGCTGCAGTTGGTCATTTGAACTGGCTTGCAGCTGGTCGTTTGAATGAGGATACTGACGCGCCTGCAGTCGATCGAACGACCAATGCCAGTCCTTGAGAACAACAACAACAACAACAGCTCGCTCGTGTTGTCATCAGTGTGCGTCTCCGTCAAGTTAATGAAAAAGTGAGCACTCGAAGCATGACTCAGGTGTGAACCCATAATAGAGGGTGAACTCGCTCCGGAAGCATGACTCAATGCATGACACACAGGCCGAGCCTCATAGCAATCAAGCCTCATTTTTCGATGAATTCTGTTAACTCGATCGCGACCTCTGCTGTTAACTCGATCGCGACCTCTGTTATCGCGGCCGACGAGAGGCAAGGTGGTGAGGTGATGCAAGGCTTTGCCGGTGATAGAGATAACAGTAGTAGCAGTAACAGTAGCAGTAACCGTAGCGGCTTCGTTAGCGCTCGGATAGTAAAAGGCGGACTCCCATAGGAGTCCATGGGATATAGGATCCTCATCGCGATTTCGATCGACGACAGGATGGTCCTCATCGCGATTTTGATCGACGACAGGATAAAGAACAAGGGGATTGCTTACGAGCGAATCCAAGGGAATTAAGTTGCAATAAGGGGAAGTACTACCGATGAAGATAATGAGAGGAAACTCAGGACTCTGCACCAAGGGATAGCTCATTCCATTGACAACCATAAGGGATAGACGTATAAGAATAAGAATGAGTAACATCTCATAACCTCGCATGCTACCATGCGACAATACCATTGTGTATTGACTAGTCTAAGGATCTAAGAGATGTAAAGTTTGTATTTCCAAATAAGTGAGCAGTTATTGATTATTTTCTAGAATAAGCCTGCAAATTGTAAAGCTGTAAAGCTGAATTGTAAGCTGTATCCCGTCGCAGGCATGTTTCATTTGTACGATGATCAGGGGTATGGACAATGCAGGCACTTTTTGAAATCATGGCGGTCACCTGACAGCCCTCAGGGCAAACTTCTCCATATCAGTGTTGCTTGGCTCCAATTCTGCGCAGGCGTTGATTGGTCCATATTGGGAAACCCACAAATCCCACTGACCCATCACTTGGAATCCAAATGGCTCAAATCCTTGCACGAATATCTCTGCTCAATAGATGCCAACTTGGAGATTCACAACCCATATACCCCACAACCACAACGGGTCAATGACAAGGCCATCATGTCAGTTGTAGTTCAGGCACGCAAGACCAATGGCCCCAATGCTGGAAAAGCTCTCTTCGGCCCAAAAGACATCAAGCACATCAACTGCTGTCGGATGTACTTGAATGTGGTGTTCCTGTCGGATGTTTGCAATGCTGCAGGGGATACCATTGATCCAGCCATGTACAGTGGAGATTTCGACAACACAATGAGCAAATGCAACCATCACAGGGTGAATCAAGCAAAACCAGGAGCCACAGCATGGGCAGCTTGGCAAAGAGCCCTCAATCTCTTCTGCACAACAGCTCGCCTTCGCAAAAGACTGAAGCCCCCACACCAACTCACCGATTGGCTCCACCCCATCAACAATCTCAAATGCCAATGTCCTGTCGTATATGATCCCGGCATAGACAATAATATCACTGACTTTGTCTACTGTCAAGCACCCCAGGGCTGGACCAAACATGCATGTCTGTACACTGACTATGACAATATACTTCCCTGGAGACTGTCCATTCCCTACCACCAACGGCTGCCCCATGTGATTTTGTTATCAGACCCCTAGGGACCATCCAGATGAAAGGATATCACAATGTCACTTTACCAACACCCCCAGCAACCCACACAACAATCACATCACTCATTCCTAACTTGAACATTTGGGAACACCATCTGCTTCGCGATTTGGAACTTCTGGTCCCTGACCAGGATGTCTGGACAGCACTTTCCACTACCGACGGATTGAAAGAGTGTGGTAATGTAATTGGGGATAGGCCCATCCTAAGTGGGCGCACTTGTGCGCCTGAGGTATATGGGTTCGTCACGGCACCGTTCAGCGGATCGTCTGACGAGGTGTAGCCTTTAAAATAACATTTCGTTATTTATGTAATTGGGGAGTGGAATAAATTGACCAGAAGATGTAAAAACATAAAAACAAATGCTACGACCTGTTGCCCCTTGTTGTTCTGCATGCGGCTGTAACATTTGTTTGGTCATTTTACCATGTTCCTGTTGAGAACAAGGACTCCCCAAGTGGGACGTGGCCATTTGCCGTGATATTTCGAAAATGTGAGCTCAAAATGTGAGGCTTAATTTTAAACTAGATGGCCGGCTCTCCAGTCACAGAATGTCTTGCGAGTTTTGGATTTAGCCGTTGCTTCCAAAGTAAATCGCATCCCACCAAGTGCATCCCTTTTCGATCATGTTTGTCAGTTTCGTGGCCATGTTGATCGCTGTTGTATTGTTCCGTGAAATCAATCAGCGACCATGTTGAATGCCACCGTCTCCTCTGACAAGACATCCGATTGAAATTCCACAATGATGTATTGCCTCTTTATCAGATGCGATCCAAAATTTGACCACCATGGGTTTCCCTTGGTGTCCATGTGAGAGCTGACACGAGCCACTGTGAATGGAGCAACGCGGTTGGATCCAACGCCAAAAGATCCGAGCCGATCGCGATCCTTTGGTTCGATCCTTTGGTTCGTGCAGCGAAGCCACTCCACAGTTTCTCTCATTATTTTTCCGGAGGCAACATCAGAAGGGAAAAGCGAAACTCTGCCAAAATCACTGCAAGGTCCTTGAATTGACCGACCATGGCCAACTGCCGTTCAGTGGTTCTTCTTGTTATCGTACTGCTTATACTCTATACTACCGGTACTTGTGCATCGCCGTCACCGTTATCTTACAAGGTTCCATCGTCTTCCGATCCACGCTCAGCAAGCTTCCATCGGATTCCTTCGTCGGCAAGCTTCCATCGGATTCCTTAGCTCAATCTTCCATCGGATTCCTTCGTCGGCAAGCTTCCATCGGATTCCTTAGCTCAATCTTCTACCATGGGCAAGAACAAGCGCAAGAAGGGCGGCAAGGGCTTCTACCAAACCAAGGGCTGTGTGGGCCCGGCAGCAACAGCAAGCTGCCTTGCAGATTCCCCATGCAGTCACTCCTCATGTCAACACTGGTCCCTTCCACAACGAAGATATTGAAGATGTGCTTCCTCCTGCCCCCTTCGCTCTGCTGCTCGCAAGCCAACACCCACAGAGCAACCGGATGATGAACGATTGAATGAAATCTTGGGCCCCCCTTTGGATGATGAGCCTCCTTCCGATGAAGATGATGCAGCAGCAGACCTTCGTCTCACTCCTGAAGAGATGGAATCTTTCCTGAGTCAGCAATCCTTTCTTCACCATGACCGTTCAGAGCGCATTGCAACTTACAACCTCTATTGCCGGGTGCACAACTTCCCTTCGGATTGGACTGGAAAGAGGAGTACTGGATTGGCAATCAAGGACGCTCTTGGGATGAAGACGCGGAAGCCAATCAAGAATATCTTCGGAGACATCAATTACTGTGCCAAGAACGACCTTGAGTATGTTGGTCAGCGATTCTATTCACGGTTCAAGCCCGTCAAGCTTCCTGATGGCTCCAAAGCTGCTGAGACTATCGCTAGTTTGATTGAGTCACAAGGAGACAGTCTCCAAATTGCAACCGACACACTCAATGAATGTCGAATTGATGATGGTGTGGAGCCGTACTCTGATTCCGCTGTCCGTGAATTGGTCCAGCGTCTCCCAAGCCGGAAAGTTCCCATTCGCAAGATGAAAAAAGGGAACCACGACAAAAATTCTCCGTGGGCTCGACGCCGCTTTGCCTGGGTTTATCAATTGCTACTTCGACTCGGCGCGGAGAAGGAGACGGAGCCTCATGACCTGTTCGAGCTTCCACCTTCCGTCCTGGAGGTGCCCGAGACTCTTTTGGACGAAGAGGAGCTCAAGTTATACGAGGAGGATGGGACTCTGCCGGTTTACTTTGATCCTCAAGCGCTGTTTACTTATCGTTTTGGTCTGCAACATGTCGCTTTTTGGGATGAGATGCATCGGAAATGCATCATCGGAACCAGCCACGCACAAGTCGATCGTGATTATCAGCTGCAGTTTCTACGCGATGCGGATGGCAACTTGGATCCGAATGGGACTTACGATCAAGCGTCGCCTGCTCACAAACTGAACGTCAAGTTTGAGAAGGAGGGTCGTTGGAGTTTCGGAATGGCAATGGTCGTCGACGACAATGGTGGCAAGGAAGGATACGTCTTGGAACCTTTTGATTACACTACCAAGCTTCTCGTCTCCTTGAAGCAGTACCGCAAACTTGTCAAGGAGGAGATTGCTCGTGTCAAGAAGTTGGGTGACCGTCCAGCCAAGTCCAATGGTTGGTTCGAATCGGCTCGTGAGAATGACAAGCTCTACATGGACGAATATCTTTGTCAAGGCATGATCAAGGGATGCGCCAAGACAATCCTTGGGAAGCTCAAAGTTTTTGAGATCCACACTGTTGGAGGAAATATACCTGACACCTCTTTACTATTGACTCGTGTATTAATCATCTAGTCCGGTTCGCATGCAAATTCATCATGCAAGGAACCGAGGGAGTTTTAGGTCTAAAGTGTTACGGGGGTCCTTATATCCAATTCAATCACAAGAATTGCTATGCACCACCAGAAAATCCTCACTTTTGCTTTTCAGCTTAATCTAAAACCAAATTACTCCCCAATAAACTGCAGTATTACTAGCAAACAACACTGAAAAGCAAAAGGCCATCTCGAGTTACTACTACCGATCTCGAGATCGATATCAAGGTAAACCAAGCAAGTTGAGTTGACTTGAAGTGAGTCAACACCTGCAACAGAGAAGAGGTGCGCAGAATTGCTCTATAGCCACACTCTCAATATAGGCAAACACCTCTAACAGGAGAATTGCCATATACGTGCGTCACACGATTGAAAATCCCATTGCCGATCGATCTAACAGCTTCCGGCCGGAGCTACGTTGATCAGAGAGTATCGGCAGATCAAGGAGATCAAGCTACACGGATTGTCCGCTTGAAGAAAGGAAATCCGTCTCTTATCCAGCGAGATATCTTCAATCGCGCGAAAAAACGGGAGTTCGATACGTCACATCACAACGAGCAGAAGCCATCAGACGGGGATCAAGATAGGTCTTGACACAGGCGTTTCAAGCCAAAGGTACCTTACATCGATCGATAGAGGACCTCTAGCCGCAACTCTGGATACCCTCGAAAGCTTCTAACTCCAAACATTGAGCGAGATAGGTTGATACGAGTCAACCAGTGCTATTGTGAAGTGAAGATCAAAAATCCCGGTAACGACACGGAGCTTTAAAACTCCTCACGAGAACTGTTCCAGACACTGTAACTCACTCAGTGCACTCATCTAACATCATTACAAGGTCCTGCATCAAGAAAGCAGCGATCGGAGACCATCAGAGGCAGTTCGCTACTACCCAAGGCTCCACGAAACGTCCTACGGACACATACAAGAATCCACGTTTTACGTGAGCTGTCAACGACAGAGGCTATCCAGCCACATCTAAGAAGCGCATTTTTAGGTAGCGCGAAAACGGGAGCACCCCTACCATACCATTCCACGTGTTTGGCATATAAAATCGTGACGTCGCTGGTTAAAGCTTTGGTAGTAATTCAGCAGTTTCGGAAGGTGAGGTCATCCAACCGGATCCGACGAGCTCTGATTTGTAAGGTAGCATGCATGATAACATACAGCCACGACCTGCCAACCCAGTCGTGCCCTTTCGTTACTTAGGTATGCGTATGTATTTTGGGAGGCAAACTACATACAGAATGCACCAGACGAGTTTACGGATTGCTAAGTACAATTCTCATTTTATAAGATCGAGCCACTCCAGAGCCCAGAAACTGTCAATTTGGAACCTCAGAAGCCACATTTTGACGGTGTCTAGTACATTCTATATGCTAAAAAGTAACGTCTGTAAGCTACCAGTTTATTTGTACCTATCTACAAAATGGTTTGGTATCGTTGTGATACTGTGATGATTGGTTTAAGAACCAGAGAGCTCTTTCAAGTCACATACAAGCCTATCAACCTTGTATTGAGGCACGGAACAGAGTGTGGGCATTGACACTGGACTAACAAGAAGAGTAGATCCAGGGCAAGGCTGCAGATCTAGGTGCTACTGACACTGGGAGGCCCGCGAGGGCACCAACACCAACAACACAGGAAGAGGAGAGGAAGAATCCAGTCAGGACATTCACAAGAGATGCAAGAGGAAGATGACCAATGGAATGGGACCCCTTGAATGTTGATCGTAATGGTTCTAAAGATGAGATGAGGACGACGAAGATGAGGATGACGACGAGGATGATAGAAAACAGGCAGCGATGCACAAATTGGCAACCAAAGTGAAGGTATTAGGGAAGAAGGCAGAGAAGAGGTAGATGCGGAGGACGAGGACAGGAAGCCACAGACGAGGATTCGGATGAAACTGACAGTGATGAGGAATCCAGTAGCGAAGGATCGTGGCCACAATCATACAAAACACAACCAGGACAAGCAAACAAGATCAAGAGACCTCCTGACAACAGAATTATCAAGCAATTCAGACAGTACTGTGAGAAGAGTCGCGTAGCAACATCCCACTGAATGCAAAGCAGGCAAGGGGCGTCAGGTGATGGATATCTTACGAAAGAACAAGACACCTCTGACTGGCTATGATGATATTCTTGGCTGGCCAC